AGGAAGGAGATAAGAAAGAAAATAGGAGAAGGAAGCAGCAGAAAGGAGTCCAATAATATTTCACTTACCAAGTCCAGTACTCTTCTAAATATTCTAAATGCATTAACTTATGTAATCCTAACAACTATGTGAAGGTACACTTATTATTTGCATGGAAACAAACACAAGACTGGGAAAAATGCCTCACTGCATAAATTGTTTTCTTTGGAAGCATAAGGATCTAAATTCGAATTCCCAGCACCCATGTAAAAACTCCATTGTGGCAGGACACATTTATGGTTCAAGTGCTGAGGGACAGAAGATAGGAACCTGAGGGCTCGCTGTCCAGTTGGTCTAGCCAATTGGTAAGTTTGAGGTTCAATGAGTGATTCTGTATGAATAAATAAAAATAAAGCAATGAGTCAGGTCCTAGCTTACACACACACACACACACACACACACTAATAGACACACACATTCACATACACATGTGCATATATACAAATAGGCACACTCACATCACATACATTGATACATGCCCATGTAAGCACACATGCACATGTGTGTATGCATATGCACACACATACACTAACATACATGTGCATGTGCAAATACATGTGTGTACACATGCACACATAGGAAAAATGAAAACAAAGCACTAAACAGATGAATTTTTTCCTATGTTATAACATAGAAGTTTTTAAGAAAACTTAACAAGACTGTGTCCAGGTGGGCATCCATGTTCATGAAGTTAATCTGTAAGTCACTGACTGCCCTAGATTTTGAGGTTGATGTCACATTTTCTAAAAGGTGTTTTTCTTTTTTCTTTGGCTGTATGTTTGTCTAACCTGTCTATTTTCTAGAGAAGTCTTATTTCATATAGATTACTCGCTCACATGGGCCATCTACATTCTCTGTATTTCTTCTTAGTATCTGAAATATTGTTGAATATGTTTAATTTGCCTTTTACTGAATCAATTCAGCTATTATCAAAGTCTCTTCTACTATTTAATTCCCTTTTAATTTTTCAAACAATTAAGTTTCCCATATGTAGCGATATTTTCTAATCAGAGGCCGTTAGATTATTTCATTTCCTTTTCCATTCTCTGTCCCAATCACACTCACACATACATACTTCCTTAGTCTGGTGGCTTTTGTTTGTTTGTTTGTTTACACATACCACAGGGGAAAAGCCTGTGCTTGTTTAGAGACATGGAATGAATTTTGCTTGGTTCTTTCTTTAGCATGTTTATAGTTTCAAAGGCCTCAGTTTAATACAAAAATAAAAATAAAAAAAAGGAATAAGGGGACATTGCATTCAGAAATTCACGGTGTGCTTCACAGGATCTAAATCCTCTGTATTGGGAGGTTGCGGAGAGAACTGGAGCCAAAGACAGTTATTGCTGAGAGCTTCCGTGCAGTGATTACGTGGAAGCCATGGGGGCAGACTGGCCTTGTCCTTTCCATTGCTCACTAGACTCACCCCTTCTGCTGTCTGGAGCACATCCTACTTTAGTCCTCCCCCGCAACCCGCTGCTCATCCTCCTTACCACTGTGCTTAGCCTCGGATGTGTGAGCTTTTCCTGCAGCGTGCTGAGCACTGGGTTGATGGCTATGAACTGCACCGCTTCCCTCCTCTCAAGGATCCAATCAGATATACACGCCGAGATTGTTCCAACAGAAGACAACAGTGCAAGTGATATGGAAATACTGGGTAGTGCACTTCAGAGAATGGACACGTGTTACTAGAATTGCAATACGTCTCGTGCCAATGAAACTGGGCCCACTAGGCTTGAATTTAGGGTCCGCTTTGAACGTATTGAGGCAAATTTATTTGTTGTCATGGTTTGAACCACATTAACTATTTTTATTTATCTTGTTCTTAATAAAAGTTCGTCTGTCTTCTTTGTAAGTGGTCGCCAAAACGGGTTAACAAACTGCTCTTCTCTCTCCACACCTTTATGTATCCTTGCAATTCAAAAGCAAACCTAAATAATGCAGACATGACAGAGTCACCTGGCTCTGCTCACAGGTCGGTAAATCGGCCATGAGTACCAAACCATATCTAAATGTGTGTACCGTTTCCTCCCTCTTTTATAAAAAACCTGGCAAATGTTCGATAAATTGAACAGAGGCTGAAAGAGGAAAAGAGTAGGCTAATTTTATATATACACATGTAAAATAGATGAACAAATAAAGGATATATTCAGTTCATAATATGCATTCAGTGGACATTTTTGACATATGAAATAGTATGCCAACATAGTTAAAGCTCTGTCTCTATATGTGTATACTTCCATGGCAGTGTTAATTTGAAATTTGACAACTCACTGGTGTGAGCATATATAACAATCATTTGCAATAAAGATCCATGCATTATGGAGGCCATTATCCCTCTCTGACAATAAAGTGAGGTCTAGAAAGGATGAGAGCAGTTGAAACCTCAAAAGTGTGACACATGGCTGCAGTAAGAGATTCTTCTCTCAATTTGCTGATGGTCTGGCCTCCAGATTAATAGTAATCAGATACCATATGCTGAGTTCAACCCCTACAGCTTCAGTGTCTGTCTCCTTCAGACACAGGCTGCTGGGTCAGCTGCTTTTGGCAGCGTTTTGATTTTTCACAAAAATTCTTAGAGTTACTTCAAATCAGACTGCATTTTTTAGATTCACTTTTAAGCTAAGCGTTTTCTCTTCTTCACCAGAGCATCAGAATGACAAAGACACAATATTTGCATGCATTATATTCACCTAGATCTGTGCTTGGGGTAGGTAAGCAGCCACTGGCAGATTTCAGAGAAGTCTGAACAATCAACAATCTAGTTCATTCGTATTTACATGCCCACACCTAATTTTCAGCATCAGATTTTACTGGTATTATTCGTCAGATCTTTGGGTAATATTTCAGCAAACTGAGACCTTAATACTTAAGAAACATTGTTCTCTGTATTTCATCCCAAGTTAAAGACTTTCATAGAAACATTATATTTGCTGCTGAAAGAAATTAAGATGCATGAAAGTCCAAAGATACAAAAGAACTAAGAACCCTGCTTAATAATAAACATGCCCAGTGCATTTTTTACTGAACAAGAGTTCATGAAATATCATTGAACATTTAAAAGACCACCACTCAAAAGTTCACTGGAAGTTCTAAAATATTTTTAATCTATAGGGAAAAACAATTTCAAAATCTGCTTTGATTTTCCTAATCACAGCAAAGAAAAAAATTTCTTCCTACTGTCTGAAAGGCTTTGAACTTGCAATGTAAATCTTTGGTAATTGGGGGACAAGAAGTGTATATGGTGACTTAGTGCTTTCAAAGAATATTGGCCTCCGCCTTGTGTAAGTGGACTAACTTGGAAAGACATCTTCTCAGAGGCAGGTACTGCCAACTCCTGGAGCTTAGAAGCCCTGCTTGGTGGAGCTGGTCCTTTACATCATCTCTAATAATTCATTTAGGAAAAATGACCTTGTTGTGCAACTCTGTTTGGAGCTGTTAATTAAAATTAATGAGGATCTCACTGTTTTGCGCTGGCTTACTTCTTAGATCAAGCTAGTTTAATCTGGCTTGGTCTGGCGTCCTGCTTGTGTTGAGTTGGCTGTCCACCAAGAAGCCAGAGCTCGGCAGTAGAAGGTTAACAGTCTGACCTGGGTAGCAACAGAGTTCTGAAAGTTGAACGGGACATGAACAATAGGAAGGGACTGACTATAAAGTAGTAAATTCCTCATTGCCAGTGCTGGGGACAGTCACCTCCTCTATCAGCTAGAGTTCTTACACGTTTTTCCAGCTTTTAGAACTATGCAGAGATATTCAGGAAGTTTCCCATAATTAGCTGTACTTGGCTTTCAAACCCAGGCAATTGCAACTAATACTGAGATGCTCGATGTCAGACCCGGGCATTCAGTCGTCTCTCTGTCCATCTGGAATCTTCAGGACAAAAGTAATAACAAATTTGATTCATTTCCTATGAAATCCCCAGTTTTAGGGGGCGTTGGAAACAGGAAATGTTCCAAACTTTAAATAGATCTTATTTTAAGAACTGATAATTTTTAACAACTCACTAGACCCCTAAAGACCCACAATGAAATATAAATTACACTTGGCAGATATGCATACTTTAGTCACACTGGAGGGCTAACCAAGTTAGAGGAGACTCAGACAATGTTCAAAAAGTAAAGAAACCACTGTCCTTTCCAGATCAATATGCACTGTCCCCTGTGCTAGCTGGCCATGCCAGATAGTTCTGCTGTGATGTCTGTTGCAACACCTTCTGGCAGACAGGAGTCTTAAGACTGCTTAGGAGGTGTGTGTCTCCATATGTCTTCCTTTGTTTCGGTATGCTCAGAACTACTAACTCTCAGTGATCAAATAAGGGGAATGTTGTTAAAATGTTAAGTCTCTGAAAAATGACACAGATTTGAGAAAATTCCAGCTTAAACTCATCAAGATTATTATTATTATTAATAAAAATTATCAAGTTGTTCCAAAAGACAAAAATCATGAAAGTAGGTAAAAACAATTTTGAGAGGGGAACAATTTGTAAAAGTAACAATACCTTACTTTCCAAATTATTTTTACAAAGCTACAGTAGTAGCCTTACAAAGCTGTACAAAACTGTGGCCCTAGAAAAATGATGAGCACATATCTCAGTGGATCAGATGGACAAAGAAATAAACTCAAATAATGCAGTTAGATACTTATCATTCAATGGAAAAAAATGGTCTTTTGAGCAAGTAGTACTAGAACCCAGCTACATAATAAAAAGAATATTATGATTTTTACCTTGTGATCACCACACACACACACACACACACACACACACACAAAACTCACAGTGGATTACATATCCTCATAGAAAACTGTAAACATTTCAGGAGAAAGTCTTTAGCATTTGTTAGGTGTAATATAAGATGCAAGCCATGAGAGGGGGCTGTGCAGGGTCCCATACGAACTGCTTTTGAAATACATGATTAAGAGAGTGACAAGTAACACAAGAGGAGAAACTATTTGTTACACTCGTGTTAAAGAAAACCATGAAATATTTTTATTAGTGTGACAGCAAATAATCTATAAAACAAACAGACAGATATGTCACCAGAGAAGTTATGCACACTCTAAGTAAACACATGAAGATACTGAGCATCATCCCCCTGCATGGGAACACATGTAAAAAACAATAGGCTATAGCTAAACACCATTAGAACGGCTCAGAGCTAAACGCTGTTCAAACTGTAGAACAATTGAGCTCTCATACATCAATGGTGAAAACAAAAACAGCATGAGTTTCAAAAACAGCTTGGCAGTTTCTTAAAAATGTAAACATAATGAGTTAGTAATCTGACTCCTAGGTATTTACATAAATGAAATGAAAACTTACATTTATATAAACCTGTGTGCAAATGCTTGCCACAGCTTCCTTTGTAATTACCAGGAACTGGAAACTACCCAAATGTCCCATGATGAGGGCATAAACAAAAACGCTGTAGTGTAGCCACGCAATGAAATATTATTGTTAATAAAAAAACGACAACCTGGGAGATTCTGGAATGCATTATTTGAAGGGCAGAAACTGAACTTAAAAGCTATTACATGGAACATTTCCAGTTATACAACGTTCTTGCAAAGGCAAAACTATAAGGAAACAAAGTGTCTAGTGATTGTGAGAGGCTGGAAATAGGGAAGGGAGTTTCTTGCAAAGGATCATGGGTGAGTTTGGGGTCTGCGGAAACAGTTCTGTAGATTGTGCGGATGGTGGAGGAGAAGCAGTTACATGTTTGCAAAAACTTGAAGACAATTACACCGCGGAGCTTTAAGTGGGACTTCGGGTGTTCAGCGAGAAGTAAGCACCAGGCAGTCTCCAGCCGTTGAGTAGGGAGGGAGGGTTGAGCTGTACACAGGAGCAGCGCAGGCCACTTGTGATCTTTGGCATGTGATATATTTAGGCTGGTGAGCACGTCCCCAACTTCTCTAAGCCGCATGTGTCAGTGATACGCAGATGTGTCAGCCCCCAGTCACGCTGTCCATGGGCTTCATCTGAGCACAGCAGCTGTCACCTGCATTAGTCAGTTGAAGGCAGCTACAGCTGCAGTCTCTGGCACTCCGGCACAGACTCAGGACACACTGACAGTACCCAGTCACAAGAGAGGGCCTCTCGTATTTCTGAGTTCTGTTCCAGGTCTTTGGAACACTGGTGGGCCAGCTGAAGTGCGGCCTAGAAGTGTTGGAAGGTTAAAGCCCAAGATGATCGTCATTACCAGGTGGATCGCACTCCCTCTTCTACCACACAACAGAAATTCTCTTCTTGTAAAAGCCTGTAGGAAGCAGCCATGTGGTCTATCAGGCAGAGGTACTTGCCACCGTTCCCAAACCTACACTGCGGGAGGAGAGAATTCACTATTGGGACGTTATCTTCACATCTCTACCTGTGTGGCATGATGCACACACACACAATACAGTATATTTTTCACTGCATGCCTGCAGCCACTGCTCTATGCCCCTTTCTCCCATTCCCAACACCACTGCTTGGCCACAGCTCTAAGATGTGCTGGTGTGAACCCTTAGGCTTCCAGGCCCAGACTCACCTTCAGTGCTCACAGGGAGTTCTCGTGATCTGTGAAATTAGAGCCCTGCACACACTCAGGAAGACAGTGTGAAAGGAGAAACAGCCATGGCTGGTCTTTCAAGTTTCCAAAGATCTGCTTCTACTGTTTTCTCTGCCTCAGATTCATCCATAGTTCCCTGGAAAAGAGTTTGTAACTGTTTGTAAAAATGAGTTATACTAGCCAAACTTAACCCTGGACCATGGAGATAATAAGCCCCACTGTAACAAGATTTAGCAACCAGAGGCCTTTGTGAAATATTGTTGTATCCTTTAAAACAAGATTATTTCTATCTATGGCACCCACGTCTGGTTATGATAGCAGGCTGTGCTTTCGATGGCTTTATAGATTATACCTGGCTGTCTAATAGAACTCTCCGTGGTGATGGAAGAGCTCTATATCTGCTGGACACGGAACACCTCATGTGTGCTGAGCTGTGCGTCTGAACTTTTAGCTCCCTTTAATCTTAGTTAATTTACGCTTCCATCCCCACACTTGTAGTTGTATTGGACAGGCTTAAAGCCTCCTTGCCATAGAAATTTAACATGTGTCTCTGTTTTTAAATCACATTTATCTATTTCGGTGGTGGTGGTGTGGTGGTGGTGGTGGTGGTGGTGGTGGTGGTGGTGGTGGTGGTGGTGGTGGTGGTGGTGGTGGTGGTGTGTGTGTGTGTGTGTGTGTGTGTCCCATAAAGATCAAAGGATAGATTGCAGGTGATGGCTCTCTCCTTCCACCATATGAGGTCAAACTCAGGTCATCAAGGTTAATAGCAAACACCTTCACCTGCAGAGCCCTCTACCTCCAAACTGAACTCTTTTTTTTTTGTTTGTTTTGTTTTGTTTTCCTCAATGTATGTTTTTATTTAAATTAGAAACATTCAGGCTTCACATGTCAATCCCAGCTCCCTCTCTCACCCCTCCTCCCTTATTCCTCCACCAGTCTCACCCCGTAGCTCCCCACCCAATCCCCACATCATTCCCCAGGGAGGGTGAGGCCCTCCTTGCAGGGGTCTCTAAAGTCTGTCATTTCATCCAGGGCAGGGCATAGGACCTCCCCCATGTGTCCAGGCTGAGAGACTCTATGTGGAATGGGCCCCCAAAGTTCATCCCTACGCCATGGTGAATGCTGATCTACTACCCAAGGCCCCAGAGATTTCTGAGGCCTCCTCACTGACACTATATTCATGGAGTCTGGATCAGTCCCCTGTTGGTCTCTCAGTCATCAGACTGGGGTTCAAGAGTTCCACCTTGTCCAGTCAGCCGTCTTTGTGACAAACTGGACTCTCTTATGGACACTCTGCAGAGTTGCTCTGTGTTGTGTGTTGGTTGCGACTGGCAGGGTAGAGTTCTTTAGCAAACTCTGACTCTTTAATCCCTCCTACTGTAATTATTGGTATATATGAATCATTTGACACTTATCCCAAGAATAATGAGCAGGATACACTTTGTTTAAAAATCGGTGAGAACTGAATGAATAAACAAAAAAAGGCTTTCTTCAAAATCTAAATATATGATTCTATTCCAACATCTGTAGGGTCTCCTACTCACTCAGGAAGAACTACTTTGAACCAGATTTTCTTCCTGACTTCCTCCCCCTCCCTCCCTCCCTCTCCCCCTCTCTTTTTCTTTCTTTTTCTCTCATATAATACACACTGACTGCAGCCTCAGCTCCCTTCCCTCCTCCCAGCACACCCCCCCACACCTCCCCTCTCCCCCGGATCTACTACTCCTCTGTTTCCATTCAGAAAAAAAGCAGGTGTCCCAGGGACATTAATGAAGCATAGTATAACAACAAGTTACAATAAAACTAGGCACATACCTCATATCAAGGCTTGACAAGGTAACCCAATAAGGAGAAAAAGGATCTCAAAAGAAGACCAAAGAGCCAGAGACAGCCACACTCCCACTGCTAAAAATCCCATAAGAATACCAAGCTAATAAACCTAGGTTCCTTGCATTATTTCCCTTCTCTGGTTTGGGAATATGAAGAATCCCCAGCGGGCCCCTGTTCTCATATTCTGCCCCTGTACCTACTATCCATATCAGTGTTGAAGGCCTAAAGATACAAGTGATTTTTTTTCTAGACAATCTAACCTACTTACCAAGTGTCAGTATACAAACAGTTGACAATATTAGGTAACCTGTGATTATAAAAACATGCAATCTAAAAGCCCTGACAACCCTCCCCATCTCCACCTCCCTCCAACACTGACGTGGAAGAAAAGATACCGAATTCCAAGAAAGGGAAAGAAGGAAAGTGTGTACAAGAAATCTACTGTCCAATGTGGTACACATAATTTATGTCTGGAAATGTTTGGAGTAGGTTTTAAGTGTTCTTAAAATAGTGTGATAAACACATGAGTTAGCTCCATGTATTCATTCCATAACATACATGAATGGCTAAACGTTTACACACAAATATGTATAATTTGTTGTCAATTTCAAAACTAATGCAGATGCATAAGACTAAAAATAAAAAAATGAGATATTATTCTATCTGTCTACTACAAGTGTGACCTCAGATGTCAAGTGACTTCGTAGGTGTTTTCAAAACGGGTTTTCCCTTGACCTTCTACATGCCTTACTCTGTGTGTCTTAAAGATGGAACATTTATCTCTGCAAACTTGTCCTCAGCTCTGGGATGATGACTTGGAGATATAGCTACTTCTGGTGATTCTAAATATGTTCTAGAACCTTCAGTGCTGCCACCCTTTAGTATCTGTGGATCCCGGTATCATCACCTACCTCCCATAAATAGGTCCTCATCTGTAGGTCATCTAGACCATGAAAATCAGTCGGCCTGTCTATCTGCAGCAGATCTCTCCAATGCAACCCAGGCTGGCCTTGAGCTCTCCACTTTCCTGCCTCGGATTCCTCAGTGCTGGAATTATATATGTGTACTGTATATGGCTCAGAGTCCTCTTTTATTCCTCCCTTCAGAGAAAACGTAGTGAGAAAATATCCATCACAAGCGCATTAACTAGGTCCTCCAGGCTTGCTGTGGCCACCGGCTCTCCTTAGTTTCTAAGCAAGTGCGAGGTCTCCCAGTCTGTCTGTCTGTCATTCTCACCCCTCCAGCCCAGCTTCCAGTGTCTAAATCTTCCACAATCGAGTATTCAGTATCTTCAGGGGCTCTCCCCGGATTTCACAGCTTTAAGCTACATAAGTGGTATTTCCCTCGGGGGCCCTTAACCTTAACCTTCACCTAACCTTCTCGGTCATTGCTTTCTCTCCGACGCAAGATCTCATTCTCGACTGTACTTTCCTGTCCCGCTGCTGGCTGCAGAGATTCTCCCCTCTTCCCCACACTGTCTGTCCACCTCTCAGCCAGCTCAGTTCAGTCCACTCTGCGTAGACCCTCACATGCTAAGTTCCTGTGGTCTTCAGGGACCAGTGTTGCCCACCCACTCGCTAGTCAGCTGTTTTAGATGACCGTGTGGTGTGGCTGTGTGCGTACAGATGACGCACTAGGCCAGCGCCTGGTCCCTGATATGTGCTCAATGACTGCGCTATATCAGTGTCACCATTTTTACTACTTATACTACTAGCAGGATAATAATACTGGAGCATGCTCTCTTGAAATCGGTATGTTCTTAATAAGCACAAACCCTGTAGAATAATAATTCCACATTTGCAGTTTGTGGAAGCATAGAATGGAATGAGTTACAGGAGGTTGGACTAATTACTGTAAGTGTGGAAAATAGGTTTGGCATTGAACATTCTTTTAGAAGATCTTTACTCAGTTTGTACATACATCCAAACTATAATATATTTAGTCTCTTCTCGGGGTGGCACCCTCCTCCTACCCATCTGTCATCTCAGGTTCACTGAGCAAATGCTAATTTACCTTTCTGATATACCATTTGACAACTTCTGGTCTCAGCTATCACATGGAAGGTTGCACACCAGTGAGTTACATTTGAATCCATATTGTCAAGTGTATATTTAGAATCAAATTATTTGCATCTTCCATAAGCAAACACTTTAAAAGTAAAGTTGTATATCGCATGAACATGTGCAAGTAACTCGAATGCAAAAGATAAACGCAGAGCATCAAATCATGATTACCTATTGCTTGGGAAATTACTGCATCGACTCAGTCGATTCACAGAAGGTGATCTGGACAGCCTGGGACGGGCTTCTGGGTGCCCATCCCATTAATCCATTATCTAGAAAGAGCGTTCTTTTTTGTTCTAATTATCTCAGCTACCCATGTTAAGTACGCTAAAAGCTAAATACAAGCAATCATATTCTTGTCATCTGTTTTATCTGCCAACTCCTCAGAAATAATTAACCTATATGGAGAGAAGCAGTTCTTCACTCAAAATGATTTTACTAATGTGATGGGAGAATCATGCAGTAAGAATTCTAACAAACTACCACTCGGTACAAAAATACAGATAAGCAGGCACAGAGAGCTGTTTAATTCAAAACAAGACAGAAAATTGTCTGTGTTTACTCTTGTTGCATAAAGTACAATGTATATTTTAGATATACCAGCTATTTTATATTTTCTCTTAAATTTAGATATTAATTTTATTTAATCAAGAGTACTGGGCATTTTTATTTTAAATTGAAAATGTTGATTTTTAACGTTTTAAAGTAAAAAAAATCACGTGACATTTTCCCTTTTTATTTCTAGGATCAACAATAGACATAAGTGTTGAAGACACAGAGAAGAGCTTCATTTGAGAAAGACCCAAGTAGGACTTTTATAAGATACCACAGTCAAGGACAGAACCATTTCCTAAGCACCAGGCGAGAAAGGCTAAGAACAGCCTCATTTCTTTATTGACTGATGATTGACTTTTAGAAATAGAGCTGGAAAGAGTGCTTGCTGCTCTTGCAGAGGGCCCAAGTTCGATTCCCAGCACCCACACGGTGCCATCTTCAAATGCAGATTCAGTCACAGAAACAGACCCAGCAACACAGCTGTGAGTATTGTGATTCTTCACAATGGAACAGCTCCCCAATGCAAAATTCACCTTGGCTTACTCACAATTCTGCTCACCAGGTAACAGCAGCAGAGCACAGCTGTAAAAGCAACTCACTGTGGGCACACAAAGGCACACAAGCCTGTCCTTGGAGCAGAGAGCACCAAAGGGAAGGGCTTGGAGGGGCCAGCTCCTGCAGCTCACACTCTCCCCATCGTCCCTTCAGAACTCTTCCGGTTTCACTTCAGAGACTTCGTCCCTCTCCCGGGCAGCTCCTTTCTCGGCCCCATTCTGTGTGGAACTCTGAATTCACCAGGGGCGTTCTCAGATCCCCCATTATGGATCTGGGGATTCACCATACGCCCTCTCAGCTCTGTCCAGTGTGGAACATGATTTTACCATGATTCTATTTTGCCATTAAGCTGTCGTACTCTTTTCATCTGCACTTGGGTCAGTAATTCAGACACTTTTGAGTGCTTGTGAAAGCTGAGCAGGTTCAAAAGGCCTACGCCAGTTCTGTTTTATCATTGTTTTTAGACATAGTTTTGCAAATTGTGTTAAATAATACTTTTCTGCAACTTCATTTATCGTACTAGAGCAAAAAAACAATGTAACTCTCTGATAAAACACTTCATTGCCTTAAAACCACATTGCCAGT